ATTTGATTTGATTTGATTTGATTTGATTTGATTTGATTTGATTTGATTTGATTTGATTAGTTCGAAGTTTGACGAATCTGTTTGAAAATATCCGTGAAACTGAGGGAACAGATCAGAAGCTCAGAACTAAAGCTCAGAACTTTGAACAGTATGTCAGGTAATCACTTTAATTCTTTCCATTGTAAATATGGCATTTCTATCTTTGCATGGAGGATCACTTGAAATTACGCTTACAGTCCCTTTAAGACTAATATTGAAAAATTAAAAATGACTAAATAGATTATTTGTTTAGCTCTAAGTTTGGTTGGTGTTTTGCCGACGATGCTGATGAAGACAATCTACCCGTTGTTCTGGAAACATTAGCCATAGATTAATAACAATATAGATAGAACACTAGATGCTCTCTCTCTCTCTCTTGTAAATCAACGCTGCATGCACGTAACTTCTTTGAGCTACTGTCTCAGGGTTATTGTGAACGAAAAACCCTTAAATCTTGAAAAGAAGACATCTAGTGTTCTATCTGTATTGTTTATTAATCTATAAATCTGTTATTTGAAACTCCGTTAAAAACCCTATTTACCAAATCACGTATTTTAAATGTAAATTATAATGTTACGTAATATTTGGTAAAATTGCATAAAATTTACGTATCAATAATATGTGACTCTAATATTCTGATTATTCTGAAGAATATATTGTCAATATTATAATCTTTTGTAACCAGGTTGAATCATCTATAAAACATATATTTTTTATTTATGCCTTTCAATTTTGTATTTATGTTAAAAGTGACCCAATGCAGACAAGATTGTTAAAAAAAACTGGAAGTTTAAGGGACTGAAATTTCAAGTAATTCTTCAGTTATGAGTGGAATGTCAGATTCGCAACGGTACCATTGAAAGCTTGATAGCTCCGAATGACTGAACTGTTTATGTTTCTCCTATTTTTCATTATTTTTTAACGGCAGATTTTGAACGCCACTTGCAGATTTCTGGTGCAGAGAAAAGAGGATAACACTTGCAGTATTATAAACACTTTTCAACCTAGAAAACCGACGATATCTTACAAATCATTGACCAGATCCGGGCAGATATAGGTTTTAAGGGCACCGTTCTTGATTGGGAATGGTTCTCTTTAATTGCAGGGTCACTATATTTTCCCCTGAATTCTCTAAATTATCGCGAACGCCCCCTTTAGTTTAAAGTTTCTCCTATAAGAAAATAAATGAAATTAACCTTGCAATATCCATGCTCGTCATAGTTTCAACTAGATCTCCATTATAATTATATTTCTCCATAGTTGCCAGAACAGTTGTATCCTTCCCTCCCACCACTATCATTTCAGTATCACTAAATTCAAAATTTGTATATCTTAAAACACTATTATTAATTTTATAGGATAAAGTGTGGGGGGAAGGCAAACCACACCCGTAGCGCTTCCTATCCACAATTTACTCACAAACATAGACTTGCGGCAAAGCGCTTCCTTAGCCACACCCAAATAGCTTTCGGCAAAATGTCTTTACTTTTGAATGCTTATCAAAGAGAAATGCATCGTTAATTTATATACTAAAAACGTCATGGCATCAAATATAACCTATACAATTTATCATATTTTTATTTGGTATTATAAGTAAACATTCTGGCTCCTTGGACCAAAAGTTGTTAAAATTTTGATCGGAACAGTGTTTCAGTGTAAATCATGAGTTGTGGCATTTGCTCTTACCCAAATAGCTTCCATTCCAAACTATAAAGACGACCTGAAACTATTAAATTTGACGATTCCGGGGTTAAGTTAAATCGTCTATCTTGATTATAATCTTTCTATGGCTTCATCAATGATTCATCAAAGAAAAAAAACAAGTTTGCAGTTGCAAGAGACCATTTTCCCCCAAGAATTTAAATATTTTTCATACTTTTATTTGTCTTGATAAGTACTATTTACAGCAAAATATTCTCGTGGGGGTATATTGCGTGATAAAACTAAGGCATTTTCTTCCTGAAAATGCATTGATTTTTAATGTAAATTTGGTTTGCACTGCAGGCCAGGACAGTGAACTTTCTTGGTAAGAAATGGAATTTTTTGCAATTTCCTCATGAACTACAATATTTCGTACATTTGGGCGGATGTTTATCTTCTTTATATACATATCTTTGCAGAGGATAAATTCAATCTTTGAAAGAATCAATGCAGTTTTGTGTAGGATTTGCTTTAAAAATATCGGAAATAATGGTTAAAGTCATCTAAGTGCGATCAAATTCTGGTATTAAAGTAATAAAAATCTATTTTGTATCAATTATCGTCGCTTGACGTTGTCAAAAGTTTATGTTTGTGAGTAAATTGTGGATAGGAAGCGCTACGGGTGTAGCTTGCCTCCCCCCCCCCCTCATAGAGTAAATTTATCAAAATGAGAGATTTCTGAAATTTTCTTTTCGCAATTCTTGATATATTTTAACCCATTTTTGTCCTTGGGAGGATTGGAAGTGCGACCTAGGGTTTGGCCCCTTTGCCGCGCAACAGAAGGCATCGAAGGCATAATCTGAAGTTTATTTGCAAGCAAATGTTAAAACAATTTCATAACACCAAAAATACAAATAAGAAGTCTTTAAGTCGTCTTTCTATTGCTGAAAATCCTTCAAGTTTTGTTACCTGATTGCTACTGAACAATGTGAAAATCCTTCAAGTTTTGTTACCTGATTGCTACTGAACAATGTGAAAATCCTTCAAGTTTTGTTACCTGATTGCTACTGAACAATGTGAAAATCCTTCAAGTTTTGTTACCTGATTGCTACTGAACAATGTGAAAATCCTTCAAGTTTTGTTACCTGATTGCTACTGAACAATGTGAAAATCCTTCAAGTTTTGTTACCTGATTGCTACTGAACAANTGTATACTGTAATTTTCTTGTTTTACTAAGTACAACCGGTTGCAGTCAAAACATAAACAAACAAAATGCGAACATAGCAGACGAAACTCTTACAGATTACAGCTTTCTCAGTAGGTATCACTATACTAAATCAAAGAATTTATTGAAAAGACGATATCGAATTTGTCACTGAATTCCCATGTTTATTGGGACACCCTGTACTTTACCCACTATGATTTAAGGGTCTCAAGATATCCAGCAAAAAAACTATGATAATTTTGCTAATTACTTCTTATAAACCAAAGTTATTAACAAGTGCTTTATAAAGTACTAAAATGGAAATGGAAAGTGCTACAGTAAAGCATAAGTGAGTTAAAGCAGTTAAATGAAAGCCCAAGGCGTTGCGACACTTTAAAGTTGACCCTTTCTTAAAAATTGATGAGACTTTATATAAACAGGCTGAATCTTTGTGATACTTCTAAAAAAAAAATAACCTTTATAAAGAAGGGTAAAAATGTCGATTCAAAACTGTAAAATTGAATCATACTTTTTAATAATAGAGGATCTAGATTTACATTGACAGAAAATTACATTTTACTAGAAACCTTTTTAATGCTAGCTAATTTTTAATGGCATTTCGTGCAGTCAGATGACATCCGTCGTTTTTTAGCCCCCCCCCCTAACCACACGTTCCTTTTAACAGACTGTCAAAGATAAAATAAAATGTTTACTTATTGTTTTTATTTTGTCCTCCAGTCATGAAAATGTATTGTCCAACAGTCGTCATGGATGGAAATAGTCTAGCAGGGCCAAAACATGTCTTTGTTTCAACCCACGCATCTACAGATTCCAAACTACCAGAGAAACATCTATAAACAGTTTTAACAATTATTCTACTATCTGGTAATGAAAGGAATAGTCTAGCTGGGCCAAAACATGTCGTTGTTTCAACCCACGCATCTATAGATTCCAAACTACCAGAGTAACATCTATAAACAGTTTTAACAATTATTCTACTATCTGGTAATTAAAGGAATTGAGTCTTTTTTGCACACACTTTGATTTTCTTATCCCTTTAGCTTTGCAACACAATGTTATAGACCTTAACTATTTCAAACTATGAATTCTGTTATATCAAATAACCTAAGTTTGAAATATCAAGGATTTACACCATCAGGTTGCTGAGATATAGGGGTTAGAAAATTTGAGTTTTTGACATAGACTTCAATTCCTTAGAGGCAAACAGAACAATCGCATGCGAATGTTTACTTTCAAAATTCAAAAGGAATTTCCTAAAAAAAATTGTTGTTTCAACTATTGAATTAATCTTAGACGTTGGTTAAGAATTGTTAAAATAAATGGTTGAATTTTTGACGTGTTTCAATATATTTTTTGAGGCAAAACTTATTTTAAATTCTTTTTCTGCATTTAATAGTTCAATCCTTTTTAGACAGTTTTTTTGGACGAGCGAAGGTTCTTATTTATGATAACAGTAATCGGATTTTCTAATTCTCTTACCTGTTCCCATTTCCGTTATAAATGTTGATTTTTCCATCAAGAACAGCAATTCCTGATTTTTAGATTTCCTTTAGGAAAATATTTTAACAAGCATTAACATTTATTAAAATAAATGCTCAAATGTATTCCAGAAGAATGGGTATGGGTATGCATCGATCAGTAATTTTCCTTATTAGTTAACACTATAGTTTCAATATTGTTGAAAAATGCTATGAAAACCAAGCTGGCTGAAACTTATGCTCTAAAACTACATCTTAATATGACTTTAATGCACTTTTTATTAATGCCGTGAAAAATTTAAACTAACCTCCTGGGGTAAAAGTGCCAACATTGACTGGCAATGTTATGGAACATTTGTAGGACTGATCCTTTTTCCAACCTAAATTGTTTATTTAAATGGACTGTAAAGGGACCCTAAATAACTTATTTAAATGGACTGTAAAGAGACCCTAAATAGTTTATTTAAATGGACTGTAAAGAGACCCTAAATAGTTTATTTAAATGGACTGTAAAGGGACCCTAAATAACTTATTTAAATGGACTGTAAAGAGACCCTAAATAGTTTATTTAAATGCACTGTAAAGGGACCCTAAATAGTTTATTTAAATGGACTGTAAAGGGACCCTAAATAGTTTATTTAAATGGACTGTAAAGGGACCCTAAATAGTTTATTTAAATGGACTGTAAAGGGACCCTAAATGTTTGATTTACAATTGCTCCTTTTCAACCTGAGAGTGCAAGCACTCCCCTCTGTAAATGAAAGGTCGCTTGAAAATATCTTTACTGTCCCTTAAAAGGAGTTAAAAGGGTAATTTTAAGTGATCATTCATCACAGGTACATGAGTTACATCACAGGTACATGAGTTACATCACAGGTACATGAGTTACATCACAGGTACATGAGTTACATCACAGGTACATGAGTTACATCACGTTTTCATAATTATACTCTTGTAGAGGATATGAAATCCCCGAAA